TATGCTACTACTTGAGTCACTCAATCATATTGCATACTTGCTACTTCAACACAAGCCCATATATATATATGCACATACATAAGATAGTAGCAGCAATGCATTAAAATTATCCATTATGTACCTACTTTGTTTCTTCAAACTGTTCTTGCATTGCAGGTGAAACGCATTCGTCGCGACGGCTATCCAGTGGAAAAGCATCATGTGCTAACAAAAGACGGCTATGCGTTGACATTACACCGCATCCCGCAATACAACACATCAGCAACGACGATGACGACGACGACGACGACTTCGACCACAAGTGGTGGTGGCACATATACGCGTCGTCCAGTCGTCTTCCTGTTGGCCGGCATTTACGCCTCCTCAGACGCTTGGCTACTAAATGGTCGCGAAAACTCATTGCCATATCTGTTGTGGCGTCAAGGTTACGACATTTGGTTGGGCAACAATCGCGGCAATATCTATACGCGACGCAATGTTTGGTACAACACGACTGAGCGCGAATTCTGGAACTTCAGCTGGCATGAGATGAGCATTTACGATATGCCCGCCATGGTGGACTACATTTTGCAGTGTACAGGCGAAGCAAAGATGCATTTTGTGGGCATCTCACAAGGTGGCACTGTCTTTTTGGTGCTCAACTCAATTTTGCCGCAATACAATGCTGTCTTCAAGACGGCACATCTGTTGGCGCCGGTGGCGTACGTCAGCAATACAAAAGGTGGGCTGGCGAAGATTTTCGGTCCCATATTGGGTACACGCAACTATGTGGCCAAAGTGTTGGAGGGCATGGAGATGGTATCCACAAACAAGTTTGTGAAGAAGTTCCTGTCGTCACTTTGTTTCGAGAACGAGCGGCCCATGGTGTGTGTGAGCCGCCTTTGGCCGGCTGTGGGCTATGATACGCTACATCTGAACAAGGTAAATACATATACGAATATCTATAACGTCTTGTAATTTTGTTTTACTTGTTTGCAGACTTTGCTACCCGACATAATGGCCAACTTTCCCGTAGGTGGCTCTTTTAAGCAAATTATGCACTACTTCCAGGGCTACGTCTCGTCGAAATTCCGCCAATATGACTATGGCCCGGAGAAGAATTGGTTAATGTACAATCAATTAGAACCGCCAGACTATCAGCTGGAGCTCATCACAGCGCCTGTTACCATTTTCTACGCTGATAATGATTACATCGTTTCGGTGGAGGATATTTGGCGACTACTGATGCGCATGCGCAACCTTCAGGCTGTTTACAAAATACCACGCAAACGTTGGAATCACTTCGACTTCATTTGTGGGCTGCGCGTGCGTGAGTTTATATTTGATAAAATTATCAGGGCAGCAAACTATTACGAATACTCGTACAGTTGACGTTAGTTCAAGGATATAACTATTTAATTCAAATTAATTAGGCTTAAGATTTAAAATTGTGATGTAGATATACATACAATCGAAAACGAGTGTTATATTTAGTCGAAAAACTTTTAGGGTTAAGATTAAAAAGGAAGAAAAGAATTTGATTGCACATTACTAATGTTTGTTAGGCAGCCGAGCGTTTACTCCAATTTGGGCTTGAGATACTCAAAGAAATAGGTTGGGCGAATTCGGACGATGGCCACGCCTACCCCTCATATAACATTTGTATTGTCGAAAAATACAAAAAGAACGATATTTCCGTAAATACTGTAAAATTAGTGGGTGAAGTAGAATTTTGTAATAAAATACTTAAGACAAATATAAACTTTGTGGAAAATGGGCGTGGCACCGCACATTTTTCTCATAAATTGCACTAACTCAGGTGCCGCTTCTCCAACACTCACCACACTCGGCACGAATATTACTTAGGGTAAAACCAAAAAACCTATGGAACATTTTTGGAAATCGAGCATAAACGGCGATAAATCAGTAAATAAAGAAGCAATGATATTTTACCAGTAAATAAGATTATTATAAAGTTTTGGAAAATGGGCTTGGTACCAACGAAGTTTAATACGTACGCCCGGTATATAGAGTTCGGCTTCAACCGCACTTATACTTTTTATACTTGTTATACTTAGTTAGGAGGCATTTTTGGAAGAGCACTTTTTTCTAGTTGATGTTTTTGTAATGAAAACTAAACCGGTAACCGCTTAGTAGCAGCATGACGCTCAATATATTTTACTACAGCGCACATAGGGGTATTTCAACGATTTAAGTTAATATTTTATTTTTTTTTTAATTTAATAATGCATTTAAGGGTAAATTTTTTTTAATCATTGTATTAAGCAAAAGTTCAATTTAAATGTAACGAAAATAGCGGTTTTCAACGAGTAATTTTTTGTTAGTTTGAATATTAACGAATTTGTTGTATCCCCGTGAGAGATCGCGTATTATTCTTTGTTCAATTGAAAGCTTAGAAATTTGGCTAATATAGTGTGAAAAGAGTGCCCGCAGAAAATGGCAGATAAGTGGTATTTCTTAACTTAGAAAATGTATTAAGGAAAATCTTAAAACGCATCTAGTATATAGTAACACAACTTTAGATCTATTTTAGCACTAAAATTACACTTTTTAGATGAATTTGAGGCCGCTGAACTAGAATATGAATCCATTTAATTTAACAAATAATTAGCAAAAGTCATGTTTTCTAGGACCTTTCGGTCCTGTTGCTAGAAATCTGCGGGAATATAAGGCGAACCCAACTATGTTATATATTTCGGAATAAACATTTGTTTTCCTTTACATTGGTGTTATATAAGTGATGATTAAAGAAATGGTTTCGGGTATACAAGCGTTTAAATTTAGATACATGTCAATTTAGATAAATCTACGATACTTCAGTAAATATTGTATCCAAATTGTTAAAAATTAGTATGTAAAGTAAAATTTTGGAACAAAATAGGATTATTATTAAATTTTTAGAAAATCGATAAATCAATAACTACTGAAGCTAATTCATTCTAAATCGATTCTCGGAATAACCTCTTAGCGTTAAATAAAATTATAATTTTTTGGATAATGCTTTTTGGAGCAATGCGTTGAAAAACTCCGATATTTCAGTAATTGAGGACGCTAATTTACTCCAAGTTAATACTTACAAAATTCTCTTAACAATAAATAAGACTGTTATTATTACAAAAATGTAGTTTTATTACATTGGGTGCGTTCGAGCTACGTAATAATTGCCGCAATATTGCAGACTTGTTGCTCTCCTGATGACATGTTGCTGATGCTCAACTTAAACTTTTCTAAAATGTTGCAGAAATTGCGCAGTAAAAATTTGTATGTTGCTTTTGATTTGCCAATGATTTTGTTCGCCCAAATTTTCGCGTAGAACGTGATACTCTTCATAAAAGAGTAACACTGCCGCATTAATTGCACCTCGAATACACCCATTTCTTACCTATACTGTGATACATATTTGAATTATTTAATTCCTTTAATTAAAGTTGAATTTGATTTTTTAAACCCTGGAAGGTTCCTCAGAGATAAAGCCTTTTCAAACCCAATTCTATTGATACCCATATTGCAGCAATTCATTAAACTAATTGAAAAAAAAAATTTAACAGCTGGCAACTCTGTTAATGTTTTAACCTATATTTACTTGATTTTAAACATTTTCAATTCTATATGTCAAAATACGTCTTTTCTAAAGATTTCGAGTTGAAATATTCATAAAAATACCGGCTAAATACCCCTATGTGCAGCAGCGGGCGGGAAATAAATATGTATGTATGTATTAATGTGTAAACATTAGGTTTGTTCGTCGAATTATCATGATTTTTGCCCAAATCGCGTTCGTGCAGACCAAAAAATTATCCATCACTCAAAAACTGAGAGCGCAAAGTGACAGTTCTCCTGAGAGAAGTGGCAAATTCTTGCTGGAAAAATTTTAGCCCGCAAGAATTTGAAATCACGACAAACATATGATTGTGGCGCATAGTGGCTTTTTTGTCTACGATAATTTTAAGAAATACTAAGTTCGTTAAATTTAAAAATTTATAAACACGAGCGATTTTGTGAAAAAAGGAAGTAAATACTTGTTGATATAATTAATTTAGTTAATCGCAATGATTTCAACTTAAGTCGGCGAAAAAATTGTATTCGCAATCGGATTGCAATTGCACCAGAGTCGATTTAAGAAAGCCGACAGCTAGTACGATAAAGAAATTGAAATGTATGTTAAAGAAAGTCAGAGCAACAAGAAATATACATGTATTTGTCATTGTTATTGTGGCTTATTAACATTTTATTTTTAATATTTTTATTGAGCTTTCTACCACGATTATTTATTAGGGAAAATTGAAAAAGCAACAAACTCTAAGCGGTAGAAGTTAAAGCAGCTATTTCGGAGATTACCACATCTCCTCATCAGACTTCTTTTTTTTCTAGACCCTGCTATTTTTGTCCATCTGAAATAATTTTAAAAATTCTATAAACATTTATTATGTTTGAAATGCAACCGTGGACACCAGATGGCAAGGAAACTTGCAAATTCCTGCAAATTTGCGTTCATGCAGAAATTTGCAAGTTTCCCAACATGAGAGAGAATTTGAGAGAATTTTTTCTTACTCTCTAATATTTTGAGTGTTGGATAATTCTTGCTGGATTTTCGACGAACAAACCTATTGCCATAGCAAAAGGGATCGACTTTTTTTCTTAAATGTTCTAAATTCGAGTATTACAAACGTTTGGCCTTTATAGTTCTTAGTTGATAGGATTTAACAATAACAAACTGTGCCTCATTGCTATAACTTTTTAAACAAAAAGTCAATGAACTTAGATATAATAAATTTATAAAATACCTGCAAAGTCATTAAATAAATATTACAATGTAATTGTGCATGTATTTACGTGTTTGATAAACTATTAGTTTAAAATTCTTTCTCCTAAAAGACATGGATACCAGTGAAGACAACCTAAGGGATCGAACTCTGAGTAGGAACTAATTTACTTATTACTGCTGATAAAACATTAGCGTTGACTTGAAAGTGGCTTTTCCCGCGATACAAACGTTCTCCGAAAACTAGTGTTTCTTTCCTATTTTACGTTGCGAACTCGAATCTTGAATGTCAAATTGATCGCAGAGTTTTTTTCAATTCTGTTTTTCTACAATACAGTCATAAAAAATTTACTTATCGAAAGTTATCAAGTTAGAGAAACTTATCAATTCCTCGTTTATAGTTATAAAAATTTATTGAATTAACCATGTTTATTGAGTTATCGCAACGTATCAAATTATTCTAATTGGTCAATGTTTGTTGAGTTGTCAAAATTTATAGACGCAGAAAATTTGTTGTCAAAATTTACGGAACTATCCGGGCTATAAAAATTTATCGGGATATCGAAATTGGTCATGTTAATGAAATTTATCAAGCTATCGATATTTATTCAATTATCGTTATTTATATAGTTAACGAAACTTATCGATTTATATCGATTATTATCGATATATATAGATTTACTGAAATCTGTAGATTCATCGAATCAAAGTTTTTGGAGCTTCCAAATATATCGAAATTTCAAAATGGTATATAGAATTAATCGTGTTACCAGAACGATAGCTTGCGAAAAATACGGAGCTATCAAAATTAAGCTTAAGTTATCGAAATTTATAAGGGTATCCAAAGTCTATAGATTTATCGATTTATATCGAGTTATATACATTTTTGAGTTTTAGCGAGGCCCCAAAGTGCACTGTTATCGGAATTTATCGAAATTATTCGAGTTATTGAATTTTGTTCAGTTACTGGATTTTGGTTTTTTAAATTCATCGAATTATCGATATGTTTTACATTATTGAAATTTATAGACAAACTGGTATGTATCGGGTCAATTCCAAGTCCTGCCAAAATAGTCCAAATACATTCAAAGATGTAAAAAAGTGTAGTCACTTTTTACTTAGTGCCAAAGCAGGAGATTTTCCGTTAAGTAATTTGCATTTTGCTTACGCTCTTGCATTTTGACCCTTTTCAGATTTTAGTCAGAAAAGATAAGGAATGGACCTATTACTTAACTTGCGTCTCTCTGCTCTGTCTGTTTAGCATCGTAAGCCCCTGGTTAGTGCATTCGGCAATACGAATGTACAAACCCTTGCAGACATCAAACTCAATAGCCAAAGGCAATAATTCCAATAATACCTCTGCATCTCCGTAGGTACTTTATATTAAGGTGAAGATGTAGTGGTTGTGTTATAATCACAATAAGTATTTTTCATTATTTCTGTTGCTTGAAAAAGCACTTTGCTTTTGCTGGAAGAAATTTCCTGGAAGAAATAAATATACGAGCTTGTTTTTCTTAAGAGCTGGAATCAGCGCCCAACGAGAGTTATAAAAATGTATCGAACTAATAAAATGCATTGAGAAGTTAACTACGAATAACGGAACGTAAGTGGTTTGCCTATAGTTACATGACACTTGAATATAACCTCACTTTTGTGTGCGCCGAACACAACTGCAAAAAGAAAAACTAATGAAAAACACAAGTTGTTCTTATAAAATAAAAAATATTTTATTAATTCACACATCCTTTTCTGTGTCAATCAATAATTATTTTACCGCTACCCAACTGTTTTCTATTGTTTTCGTAAAAATTTCCATATGTTTCTTTGCGAAATAAAATTTAAAATAAACGAATTGGAGTCGTTTTTTCTTTCGATATAGGTTTATTGGCACGTAAATAACGAAATAACGTACTCTAACAGTTAAAACTTTTCTACTTTGCATTCAACGGGCAAAAACATTATTTCGCTCCTTTTTTTCGTAATTACACAGAACTATCGATAATAACACAAAAACTGCGACTATATTTAATTAAATTACGACACGATCAGCGCAAAACACATGCGTCCTCTGAAAACAACTGCACACACACAATTCTTCAAACTTTATTGGGATATATTAACCGCTCCCTCTGTCACTTCCTCGTTGTTTTCTTCTTCCACCAACATTGCCTCCCGTTTACTCTCGAATCCATTGATATATCCGAGGACCCTCTCGTTGATTACTTCTCTAACATTAAAAGCAAACAAGTAGTCCAAGTGATTCCAGGTTGTTAGGTTAATGTGTCGAAGCTCAATGTTGTCACCCATGCGCGGCAACAGGCGAAAAACATCGATTGGCGATGATTGCCAATCATTATCCGCATAGTACAGCTGCAATGGAGGATTCGCTCGTATACTCTCCAGTGGATAGTCGGGCGGCGTTGGTTGTTTATAGTACAACAAATTCCCCTTCAGACCATGATCGTATTGCCTAAAGTGACCGGACACGTACTCCTGCATATAATGTAACACCTGATTGGTGGAGCCGCCTGTAGGATGAGTCTTTACGATTTCGGGAATTAGGGACTGTAAATTGAAATTTAAAAACCCATTTATTATAATTCGCACAATCATCGTGTATCAGCAAATGTGTTCATGCGTACATAGTCTGTATTAACCGGATCAAATCCCGTGTAAAGAAACAGAAGATTGGCGCAAAGTGTCTCATCTAAAAATTCATTTCTACATGCCGCCGCATCAAATAAAGACGTGAATTCGTTATATCCCAGAAAATCATGATCACTCACGGCCTTCGAGATTGGACTGGGTTTGCCCAAAATGGGCGAAGTGAAGCGCATCAACGGTGATTGTTGGTTATCGATATAAACAACCGGTGCCAACAAATGAGCTGTGCGTATACGTTCCATATACCAAGGCATCAAGGACATCAGTACCATAAATGTGGTTGTGCCCATCGAATGACCAACATAGTGCAGCGAATCTTTCATTGTGGTGCGCAACACATATTCAAACATAGCCGGCAGATCATAAATACCCAGCTCATGAAAGCTGAAACGCCAAAACGCCTTCTTCTCTGGCGACCGCGAAACATGTCGTCTCGAATAAGTAATACCACGAAAGTTGCCCAACCACACATCGTAACCAGCATCGGCTGCCAAGTAGGCCAAAGCCTTATCTGGACCAGCCAAAATCCAATCGTCCGAAGAACTAATTAAACCATGTTGTAGAAACAGCACAGTTTTGTTTGGCACATTGGCATTTTGTGCGCGCAGCGAGTAAGGTATGCGAAACATGGTAAGAAGGTAGCCATCGATTGTCTGTACGGTATGTGACTCTACGGGATAATTGTTTGCCACCACGCGATCAGCCTGAAATGAAGGGCATGGGGAATGAGCGTTTACGGTGAATGTCCAAAGATAATGACTAAGTACTTACCGTTGTCGGATAGATTGGTGTAGTTGATGCCGACGTGTGTGCAACAGCGTATAAAAGGAACAAACTTAATAAATACNGATGGGAATGAGCGTTCACGGTGAAAGTCCAAAGATAATGACTAAGTACTTACCGTTGTCGGATAGATTGGTGTAGTTAATGCCGACGTGTGTGCAACAGCGTATAAAAGGAACAAACTTAATAAATACATCTTTTGTATTTTATTTAGTTATCGAATCCAAGACTTCACTACCTAATGAAAATTCTAATACTAAACTAACTGTGGAATATATTTTGTGCTTATATACCCACTGGCATGCAATGTGGATCAAGTGCGAAAACCTTCTGCCCGCATTTATGGAGTCAACATGTAAAAATGTATACATACATACATATACAAATATTTTTACATTATCGCTCTCTAAATTAATTTGTGGCTCCACTCAATTCATAGTTTATTTTAATATTTAATTATGTTTTATTAATTAAGTATCTATATATAATTGCTTAGTCATACGACTTAGTTAGGGCGATCTGGAGCAGCTACATAATTGAGTTATATGTATATCAAATTAAAGTTCAAGCTGCAATTGCGGTTACCGTGTTTGTCACAAAAGTAAAAATTGACAGAAAAAATTATAGTGATCCGTGTAAACTATTGAAAAATATTAACCAAATGTTCGTGGAATTTTGATTCGGACTCTTTTATTCATAGTTTTGAAATTTATTTCGCGAAAGCAAAAAATAAAAATAGCNGTATTATTCATAGTTTTTAAATTTATTTCGCGAAAGCAAAAAATAAAAATAGCTGAGATCACTTTCTTTTTTAAACACCTATGTAGGATATCACTGACAAATTTATAGGACCCCGAATGACGGTAAAACTCAAAGCTTTAAACAATTTTTGATGTGATTTTTGAAATGAACGAGCCGTTTTTACCAGCAATTTAAATGAAAAATGATTTGTTTTCTGCCAATCTATACTAATATATATTTGAAAGTCGTTTTTTTGTGTTCGCAAAGCTCGAGAACAGCTGAACCGCTGTTTTTTAAATTTTGGACACCTGCCGCATGAGTCTCAAGGATGGTTTTAGGCTAAAAAAAATCGATATGTAAAAGGGGCGGGGCACCTCCCATACAAACCGCATTTTTTCATGCTGCATATCTCTGGAGGTGGTCATGGTAGAGTTCTGGAACTTGGTATGGAGATATACGAAATCAAATCAATCGCATACTCTTGAGGAAAATTTCGGACTATTGCAAAAGGGGGCGTCGAACCTCCCATTCATACCGAATTTTTCCACGGATGCGGATCTCTTAAACCTAACATCCGCGGATGCGCATGCGTATGCGGATGTCAAGGATTTTTAAGAAATAATTTTGTTGCGAAAAAAATTAAAAGGTTAGTAATTCTTAATAATGTTTCTTTTATTTACTGACTGAATCTAAAAAATTGAACATTATATTTAATAAAAAGTGGTGCCTTTTCAGGTTACAGCCGGTTTCTTAAAGGGTCGTAAATCATACCTGCGCCTAAATAACTGCTAGCTCGAGGCGACAAATATATGCGTGTGANAAAACCTAACATCCGCGGATGCGCATGCGAATGCGGATGTCAAGGATTTTTAAGAAATAATTTTGTTGCGAAAAAAATTAAAAGGTTAGTTATTCTTAATAATGTTTCTTTTATTTACTGACTGAATCTAAAAAATTTAACATTATATTTAATAAAAAGTGGTGCCTTTTCAGGTTACAGCCGGTTTCTTAAAGGGTCGTAAATCAAACCTGCGCCTAAATAACTGCTAGCTCGAGGCGACAAATATATGCGTGTGAAACTTGACAATATTTGAAATTCTTTTCGATTGACGCTGCATCAGTTGAAAGCAGAGTTGTTAAAAATGCTTCAATTTTTTAATGCATTAATGGTATTTAAAGCAATAATGTTAATGAAAAAAATTAATGCATTAATTTATGAAATTTAAAGCAAATGAATATTTCAATGCATTAATTCTGAAAAATGTAATGCTAATGAATCTTTTCTTTCATTAAATTATCCAAGCTATCACGCTCGCTACCGCTCTCACCGCCATCGTCGTTACTCACCGAACCGTCTCCGCTCTCACTATAATCATCATAAATCACCTAACCGTCTCCACTCTCACTGTCACCGTTACCGTCACGAACCGCTGGGCGATATCCGCACTCTGAACCACGACGCCGTCCGCCGACCAGTTGGTCTCTCTCCCTTTCAGTATCTCACGCTCTCATCTTAGACGTCAAGGTGACTGTATTCTTGCCTAACAGCCGCGTGTGTGTGGTTATGTTCACTACATTAAACTACTGTGTTTTATTTTATTCAGTGGGGGATAGTGGGACCTCCGCCCACTAATGGAGCGGCTCAGTTACCTCAGCCTTCGATAAAACTTACCTCATAAATGGCGTCCGAGCAGGGACCCAACTCTGCAGGCGCATGAGCAAAAGCACCAACCCTGTCGAAGCGGGTTCAACGCACATACCACAATCAGCAAATAACACACGGCCGAGCGAAAACGACACCACAACGCTGAACGTCGACTCTCTGTACTGGATATACCTATTGAGTAATGAGTCGGCCGCTGTGGTGTAGTGGTAAGCAGTGCGCGCTTTCACTCATCAGCACCTGGGTTCAAACCCTGGTCAAAGCAACATCGCAAAAAATATAGAAAAAGGTTTTTTCTTAACAGCGGTCGTCCCTCGGCAGGCAATGGCAAACCTCCGAGTGTATTTCTGCCATGAAAAACAGCTTCTCATAAAAATATAATCGCCGTTCGGGGTCGGCGTAAAACTGTAGGTCCCTCCGCTTTGTGTGACAACATCAAGGCGCACACCACAAATCGGAGGAGAGAAGCTCGGCCAAACACTAACATATGTGTAAGCGCCAATCTATTATTATTAATGAGTCATTAGCGGAGGAGTACAAATAACACCAGTTACCAGTTGAGGGAAATACAGTCGCTGAGCTACGGACTGCTCTAAGCAACTTCATCAGAACCAAGTGAAACAGGAAATCAACCGAAAATCTCCTAAAGGAACTAGAGATGGAGATCACGATTGAAGAAGCCAGTGCAGCAAAGCCGTCACCCGAAGTAACCCCAACAGTAAAACTGGGCGAATCATTCCTACATTCTGGAGGAGTAAAACAGGCGGTCCACCAGCGAGACAGGATTAGTACGCTGAAGTGATGAGTACTGTCCGCCATTGGGACGTACACTATTCCGGCAGCGACGCCCTGCACGACTTTCTGGGCTGGGTTGAGAAACTGGCGGTATGCTATCCTGCCAGACCAACTCCTCCCCACCCTCTCCGAGGTCTTACGCGGCAAAACGCTCAAGTGGTTCCGCGTCCGGAGGCAACAGACGACCACCTGGGGCAGATTTCACGCCGAGGCAGAAAGATTTTTCCTGCCTAAGCGACAAATAAACCACTTAGAAGACACTATTCGCCAGCGGAAGCAGCTGCACAGGGAAAAGGCTAAGGATTACATCCTCACTCTCCAGACGCTCCTCCGGCAATATCCAAAAATGTGCAAGAAAAACCATTTAGAACAGACAGGCGGCACACAGCATTTCCACCATAGGGAGCCGGTGCGACGCAAGAAACACCTGCTGGCTCTGCAAAAAGCGGGGACATCAGCGTTCTCACTGTCGCAACACGTGGCGGCTGTTCTGCTCCCGCTGCGGGCAAGACGGAATTTTTTCCAGAGATTGCCCATGCCCGAAATCAACGTCATCAGCGCAACCGCTACAGCATCACCCGCTGCCCACGCTACCGAGTTGCAACCTAAATGGCGAGGCATCGACGGTCGCTTTTACGCCGACGTCACCATCGAGGGATTTCACATACGGGCACTGGTGGACACAGCAGCCACGCTTACGTATAGGAGAGTGTGCAACTCGCAGATCAAACGTGCGTCATTACCACGCACACCTATCCCGTCAGGATTAAATATAACAATCGATCCACGCGCGCTTCGGTAGTGGTGATCCCTAACCTGGTGGAGCAAATGATACTAGGAATGGACTTCCTTGCAAGACGAGGCATCGTCGTTACACTAGATGGCCAGCCACTAGCTAGCGCCATTCTCCAACATTACCGGACCAAGCACTGCCGCCGAGCACGTGATCACGCTCCGGCACAACCGACCGCCGGAAAAGCGCTATCTCCACCCCGCCATGCGTACCAAAACTCGCATTGCGAACGCCATTGAATCTCACCGTCTCCTTCTACATGCACCGCCTAATAATAACCGAACGATAAACAATGAGAACTATCAGTACCAAACCGTCACGAGGATTGGATGTTCGAAAAAAGGAATGCTTTTTTCGGTTGTCAACCATGTTGAAACAAAATTTGGTGCTGCTGACATTTGCGAAAGTTCCATGAAACCCTTAGAGGAAAAAACGCATATTTTTTGCAATTATTTGTCAAAGAAAGACGAAAATTATGGAAAGCAATGTGGAAAGGATGCTAAAATATTTAGATCTGAAAACATAGCGTTTCTTGCTGATGAAGTTCTTTTCGAAATCAAAAAGCCAACTGTGTCGACCAGCAGCCGGATTCTACTTTCACTATCGCTAAAATGTTAAAATACGAATACTAAAATGTTTCCGAATTTTAGCTATGAGAGACCCGGTGGTATGCTTATTTTGAAATTTTTAACATTTTTCATGAAAAAAAAAACAAAAATTAATCGATCTAAAATTTAATTTTGAAACCCCAACAGTATTAGTTAAAAAAAAAAACACCTAAAAAGACTAACTTAAGCAGAAAGGTTTATGTAATTTCGAAGTTTCCGATAGTAATACGCCGTTACACTATGAAAAGTGAAAAAAGTAATTTTCCCGGAAAATTTACGTGATGGAATTTTATTTTATTTTTTTTTCTTTGCTTATTTTATGTATGTATATAAAATCTACCAAAATTGCTGATTTATTTTTTTTTTAAGGGGGAAACCATCGCAGGTCTGTGTTATTTTACAAAAATATATGAACTTTTTGCGAATTCTTTAAAAATTACATTACTTATGGATCCACTTAATTATATTTTTTATGAACAAAGCAGCACACATATACATAATTGTTAATTTTTGTGCAACAATTAAATAAATTTATTTTCATAATCGTTAGCCCGTTTTATTATAGGGACATATAGCTCAACCTTCACTTCCAACGC